GCAAACATAAAGGTCTAGAGAATTTAAAGGAAATAAAGGTAAATTTAAATTACTGGTCAAAAGGACAAAGAGATTTTGGAAGCAAACAACAGTAGGCAGCTTGGCTTTTAAGAGGACCAGGCTCTCATGTCCTCCCATCTGTCTCCACGTGCTGTCTCCTAACTCTCCATATGCACCCATTTCACCTATCTGGAGGTCAGTGGAAGTGGTATGAAGATTTAGGAGTAGACACTTCTGGTCAGGTTCTAGGCCCTTCCCAAGCTTAGAAATAAAGTGGCACTCCTTGTTCCCACTTTACTAGGTTAAAACCTGGACAAGGAGGGCCATGGACTGAAGCCGCAGTATGTTTAGCAGGAGAGATGCCTAAAGCACTGTGCATTCTCAACCCACCTCATTCACAATGTACCTGTGCCAGCTGGATATAGCTATTCATATTAAGGCAAACTGAAATGCCAGGTTTTTCTGCCCCTTTTCTAACCCCAGCCTTTTTGGTTGTGTAAAGAAAGCCTGATATCAAGAATTTAAGGTCATTTGATTAGGTCATAATTTGAACAGATCATTTTATTCTTTTTATACATTTCTGTAAGCCCAGATTTACTTTTGAAAAAAACAATGCCCAAATCCTCTAAACAACTTGTGTTCTGCAATTCCAAAGAGAACCAGCAGAGGGAGGCCAAATCTTAAAATCTTATCTTTATGAGCTAAATTTTGAATTAAGATCAGTAAATAATGGGAAAAAAAACAAAAAAACAAATTTCAGAGATTCTTAAACATTTTTGGCCTCAAGCTCCTTTGGGAAATTGACAAGAGCTGTTTCACACACAATTTTTTTGCAATTTCAGAGTTCAGAGGTGCAGTGAACCTGCCTACTCTAGGTTAAGAAGCCTTGCTATAGAATAGATGAAAGAAGGCTGCCACTCTAACTTCACTTAGAAATAGGAAATGGGAGGAACAAAAGTCAGAGTAGATATTGCATGAATAAAGAGTGAAGATCAACTAATTAATGATTAGGACATACGACAGATTCAATACAGTTATTTTTTTTAACAACGGGAAACTTAAAGGGATAACTCTCCCAGTGACTTTCTGGAGTATGATATATATATGTGGTTCTACATAATGAACATATTTAATAAACATTTAAAAATAAACGAAAAGAATGATTTCAAACCATATATAAACATCCCATATATTTCACTAGCTTTTTTCTCTTAAGCTGGAAAACATTTTAAAGATGTACACTTTAAATAATTTCCCCAAACGGAACTAAAGAGAAATGACAATGGAGAAGGAATACGATAGATTTATAAGCAATAACAAGCTCTTACTTTGCAATCCATTCTGCACAGTTTTCCTTCTTGAACAGTCAGATCTCCAGGAGCCTGCAAGAAGTGAGGTCTGAAGAACCTCTCCTGAATTGGTTCATTTTCATCTCCACTGTCCCTTGATCTAGAACGAGGCCTTAGAACGAAAGAGATAATAGATGATGGGTGGTTGGATAGACAGCAGTTATTTTTAGGCTCTAAGTCATCTGTTTTTTTAAAAACTAATACATAAAGTAATATAATATCCTTACCTGATTTCTATTCCCAAGGTTTTTACTCAAACTCAGCAAAATCTTGTTTCATTTGGAATTTTATAAATTTAAGTCTAAATAGTTCTCTTCTCCTAATCCTTAAAGCTAGTATAAATCATAAAAGGAGAAATAAGAAAAAAATGGCGCACTCTATATTAACATATTTTTCCTAAATCTTTTTAAAGCTGTATGAGAAATAGCAGCAGCTACTGCTCATTTATTACCAAATCTTTTTAAACAAAAATTGTAACTTTCTGCTGTGATTTTAAACTTATAGGAAAATAAGTTCTTAGTATTTTAGAAAAATTGAATATCTTTCTAATAAAAATTTCTTATTATATTAATCAGGAAAACAAATTACAGTTTTAGGCAAGTTTTCTTTTATATCGGTTATCCATGTACCTGAAGACACGGATAACCTGAAGATGTGAAGTTTTGTTTTGTTTTAAAATAAAATTGTGCAAATCTCCCAGATTTTGTGTCTGTTTCTTGCTTTTAACTATGTGGCCAGAGGTACTTTAAAGAACAATACAATTTAAAGTAATTACAGGGAAGACTTAAGAGCGAGATGTTAAATTCTGTCAGTAATCACTAGAAGGTAAGTTTAAAAACACTTAACTAGAAAAAGTAAGAAGGAACAAAAGAATAATATATTAGGCTAATAATTATCAGCTTTTTAAATATAATTTACTCTTCTTCAAGTACAGACATATTTTAACAACTTGTTTTTCTAGGAGACACTAAGACATGGAAAAGCTTAAATATATTAAAGACCACAAGAAAAGCAAGAGAATGGATATGCTGCTAAATGTGTTTACAGCCATAGATAAAGGCTTAGGATCCTGTGAACAGATATTGCCACAAACAAGTTAGAATTAAATCTGCACATGCTTAGATGCCAGAATTATCTTCCAGATGTTGAACAAAGGGCTCTGTGGATCCAGTCACACAGGGCAGTACAGACACACCATTTGTTTGTTGTTTACTCAGTTTTTCCTACATACCTTTGTGAGTTTAACTTAGTAGGTGTTCTCCTCTCCAAAGGTGTTTGCACCTGTGGCCTCTATTTTATAGTCACGACTATCTGAGCATGCTGTCTGTAAAATATTTAAATAGGATCCCAAGATGATATCTTTTCCCCATCCCTGCCTACCATTATTTCATCAGCATCCCTGCATAAACTCAGGGCTACTGGGAATGAAAAGCACACTCTATAGTTAACAGATATTTTTTGAACATTTAAAGTATGGCAGATATTATGGTCTAAAACTGTTTTGAACTAAGTGAAAAATGAACATTAGCAGACTAGCTGATTTTAAGAAATCTCATGGCAGTAGTTTATAATGGTCAATCCATATAGCTCTTGGTTAGAGGAGTTTGATTTTCAACATTTGTGTACTATTTACTAGTATTTTCATTAAGGTAACTGCCATTTAAAGGCACTGAGTCTTGATTTCTTCAAGTATAAATTGGGCTCTAATTTACAAAGTTGAGGTAGTATATCTATCTGAGCAGGCTTAGCACACGTTAGTAAATGTTTGCTCCCTTCCCCTTTCTGAATAGCAAAGGAGCACAGTAATTAAGGAGCCATACATTGTACACACTTTAAGACTGTATTCACATTCTGTCCTCAAACTATGTTCACTTTTATGGTCATACTATGATTCTAATAGTATTGAATTACAGTAATAATAGTAACACCTATGAGAAAGAACATCTGAGATACCTTCTGACATGAGGATGGCCTGAAGGAGAGCGGGGACTGCGACCTCTTTGGTTGACAGCTTGTACCATTAGCCGTCCAGTACAACTGACGCGGCCCTGTCCGAGACATCAGGAAAAGAACTTATTTGCTATGTAAAACCAATAACCATTAAGCAAAGTTTATTTTCCTGTTCTCTATAAGACATTAACAAACCAATGTGCCATATTAATAATGACATCAATCCCTGTCAGAAACATATTTTCTCTGAATTAAAAAACCTTTACTGTTTTATCTAGGATGGTATTTAAAATGACAGTCCTCACTGAATGATTTGTAATCTGCTCAAGTCTCCCTAACAGGTGAAGCTGAGTCGTAAAATGTAGCATCAGGACATTACTGTCTTGTGATGATCTCAGTTTCATGGACAAATAGCTACTGGTTGTCATTAAATCTGAAATCAAACTAGATGATTTTAGTTTTCTGTCAGATCTTTTCAGCAACATATTTATTAAATGTTTGTGGTATCCCTCCCAAAAACCACATATTAAAAGGAGAGATGCCAGCATGATAAAATGGGCATCATGTAAGAAGTATGCATAGGGATGACAAGGAGAGTATAATGAGTATAGGAAACCATGTTTGCATGAAATGAACATATTTGAGATTTAAAAACCAAGAAGCAGTTAAATACCTAAATTAGGTCCATGCATATATAATGTCTCAGACCCATAATAACGCAATACCAGCAATGGTGAATTTAATAATTTGTGACATCAAAAACAGTAGTCCCCCTAATCTGCAGTTTCACTTTCTGCAATTTCAGTTACCTGCGATCAACTGTGGTCCAAAAATATTAAATGGAAAATTCCAAAAGTAAACAATATTAAAGTTTTAAATTGTTCTCTGAGTAGCATGATGAAATCTCATGCTGTCTTGCTCCATCCTACCTGGACCACGAACCATCCCTTTGTCCGGTGTATTCACAGTGTACATACAATGCAGTAAGATTTTGAGATCACAGTCATATAACTTATTACAGTACATTGTTATAATTGTTCTATTTTGTTAGTTGTTGTTTTTAACTTCTTACTTTATCATGAGTATGTGCGTTTGGTGCTACCCGAGGTTTCAGGCATCCATTGGGGGTCTTGGAACATATACCTTGCGGATAATGGGAGACTGCTATATCATTTGATATTTACAAGATCATCTTAGGTTAGATCATTTAATCTTTACAAGATTCTTGTGAGACAGAAATAGTGCCCCAGCTTTTGCAGAAGAAAAAACAAAGGCTTGAACAAATTCAGTGATTTGCTCAAAGGTTTTGGAAAGTCAAGACTCAAATTCAGGTTAGGGAATTTTTTTAAGCAACCAATATCTGTTTCCCCAAATTCAAGGTTAAAGATTTAACTCATATCTTTTTCTAATCACGTAAGTGATTAGTTAATATTAATTTCCCTGTGCAGCTTCTGGATTTCATACCACAAGGAAAAATCTATCCAAATTAAAATTGTTTATTGAAGCAGCAAAACAAATAGTAAGGAAGCCATATTCCATATATATTCCATATAGCTGAAGGTATTTGTGTAAAACAAAACATACTGTCTTGTCCTCAGATTTCAAAAAGAATCGTGGGTCTTATATGTTCATTTGTTAAAGTATCTACTGGGATGCATCTGCTGGGTAATTTATAATGGGTGTCTTCTAAGCAAGTCACACCTATAGCAGGTACAGATTTGGAAGGGTTCGATGAAATTAATTTTCAGATTTCAAGCTAGCTTAGGGAATCACAAGTGTTTGCCAAAAGCTCAGTGCAAGAGAATTTATGTCATGTGGCCTAAACTTCAGATACAATTAATCTAAGTTAGAAATAATTCCCCTTCATAATGTTATATTTCATGTCTCCCTGGAAATTTTCAGGATAGGCAGTATTTTAACTGTTACCTCAATAGCACATCCTGTGAATGCTGGAGGAAGTTACATATCTAATGGTGTCAGACTACTTGAGAGTGTTTCTTTACAACCACCTCTTTGTATTTGGTAACTCCTAATTCTTCTATCTGTATTACATCCCTACGAGTCTTTGCCTTTTCTGGGTGGTTATGGCCCTCAAGAAGTCCAGGATTTGGGCAGATCCCCTCTGGAAGCCCCACTGCCTGGATTCCTGCCCTTCCCTGAATGCTGCTGTGGGGTTTTTTCCTCTGTGTTTCCTCCACTGGTGTCCTCTCCCTCGTCCCAACCCACTCTCAGTTGTAACTCAGAAAGCAGTTCTTCAGAACACACAGAACACGTCTTGCTTCTGTGAACTCTCTATATTGGCAACTTGGAATGAAAATGGGCGTCAATGGTAAACTTTATTTTGACTACAAATGCAAATGCGGGCTGCTCTTCAATCTTAGCTAGAATTCCATAAGTCTAATGAGTACCACAACTGCTTCTCATTTTTCCTGCCCCTCAGTGCTCTTTATGCTGGGATGAACCCCAGACACCTTTGTATGACACACCCTAGCTCTGGCATCAGCCTGGGTTTGTAAACCAGTTCTGCCCTTGATAGCTGAGTGACTTCAGGCAGGTAACTTAACCGCCTGTGTTTCTTATCTGTAAAAGAGAACCATACATTTAATTCCACATTGGGTTCTTAAGAAGATTAAATGAGTTAATAGGCATAAAATACTTGATATTATGTTTTCTGTACATAGTAAATGCTCAAAATGTTAAAATTATTATAGCACTGAATATGGATATAGTTATAGCAACCTAATGAATATGAAGTGTACCTTAGAATTGTTTAAACACATTTTTTTCCTACATGTAATGGAACTTGCTCGCTCCCTCCCATCTTCCTTTTTTTGTATTAGGATGTAAAATACTCTTAGCACAGAAGGCAGAATATGTGGAGAGTAGATCAACCTTTTTAACTTATGCTAGCGCTTGAAAGGTACACAGGTATATTCAAGATGTTTAGATGATGGCTGCATTTGAGGTATGAGATGAAAGATATCCTACTCAGCTCTAACCATCTGACTAAGCTTCGTATAAGCCATGCTTCTTTTTCTCTCTCCAAAAAAAATAAACAGGTTGCCATACTACTCTTAAAGGTTACACATTACTACAATGTTTTCAAGATTTTCACTGCTACTGCTTAGAACCATATATGCACAGTATTGACACAGATATTTCTTTAACTCCCAACATTTAAAAAAAAGGACTATGTTACCATTCACCACCTTTTTAATCCTACATAATCCTTTACTTCTGAACATAAAGGGGAAAGGTATGATCCTTGGAAGGCAGAATTATTAGTTTGATAGTGTTATTGACTAATCAGTAAATGACCAGGAGCATATAAAATTACCCAACAGATGCATCCTAGTAGATATTTTAACAAATGAACACATAAGAGCCATGATTCTTCTTGGAGCCTGATCAGTAAATGACCAGGAGCATTTAAAAACCATCCAAACTGACAAGTTGTATAATTTTGACATTTTCATTTTGGGGGAAAAAAAAAAATCCAGAATTCAGTGAAGCATTTTTGAAAAAGTGCCTCCAATGTGCACAATTGAAAGTTCAGGTTTTTAAGTCTGAACATTTTGTGTATGAGGAAGATCATACAAAATGAAAATTAAATAATGTTAATCATGATAATGTGCCAATTAACCCTAGTAATCATAATAATTAGTAGGCTCTGGTGCACATTAATGCTATTGCATTTGCTGTTAACTTTCTCATTTCTGTCTGCTTTATTATTAACACATGAATAATGGAAGTGAATGTTTAAAGTGAAGCTTGAAATGAGCCAGGCAACCTTACAATGCTAAAACAAAACACAGTCAACAAACTAACTGTAAATTTAACTCAGCTGTGTGTTCCTTTTCTATTCCAAACAAATCCACAGAATTTAAAGCTATAGTACAAGTAATAAGTTTGAATTCTTAAAGTGATTGTATTAAACATCCATCTTATAAAGATTATTTGAGGCCTCATGCAAGGCCAATTATTTATATAATATGGAAATAACATTTATATTTCCTAGTTTATGAAATTTAACTTGCGACACACAGATCTTTATAAAAGACTGCCACTTGTATACATAATGCATTTTGAGAGCAAATCAAACTGCAAAACAGCCATTCCAAAATCCAAGTGCAACAATACAGAGTAACTTAGCAACACAACAAAACAAAGTAAAACATTCGTGTTTAGATTTAGTTATGTCTTAAAGATAGGATTACAGTCTAAAATAAATTGTATTTGTGATCGTCATTTTGGCACTATGTTTGGTGTAACACTGCACAATCACTCATTATTTCACTAAACTATGTGATTGCCTTGGTCTCTCAAGAATTGCCTGCGCGGCATACACTGAGCATGATTCACAGTCTAGTGTATGTTTAGAGCTACGTGTTCTATCCCAAGCTGAATTTGGATGCCGTCAACAATAACTAACATGTTTCTTATTCCCCAAAGATTAACCCAGGTGGAAAAATATTCTATAAAATATTCTGCTGAACTTTAGTGTTTTCCTCTTTCTTTGGTTCTCACCCTTTCTTTTGGCTGCTTTCTGTAATTATTTTCCACTGCTCAGGAAAGCTCTGCTGTCTGTGTTTCATTACTGAACCAATCTTTCCACTCCAGCCTTTTTCTATTTCCCTTGGTCATTCACATTATGGAGGCTACAGCGTACCAGAAAAAATAGGTGTAGTGGTCTCCCTTTCAAACCTTTTTTAAACTTTTTTTAAAATGTAAAAAAATTTCAAGGTAAACAAAGAGCATCAAGGAAGTGGGGGGTCAGCTTCAGTTTTCTGTTGACTACGTTATGCTTTTGGGACTAATATATCTTGAAGAATTTAGTTTTTACTTTTGAAAACTTTTTTCAGTGCCTGCTAGTATCATGCTGCTTTTAAATCACTGTCTTAATTCATGAATTACAAGAATGGCAAAATAATTTAGTATGTAATAACAAATGTTGTAAAGTTGAGATGATGACAGTTTAACATTTCTATTACAGTATTCCTACAGCAACAAATGATAATGTGCCAAAGTGTCAGGTAGAAAAATGGTATGCCACTTGTCATGGTTGAAATACCACTTTGTTTTTATAATGGGTAATGAAGTTCAATCCCATTTCTAGGTGACAACTCATAACCTACATCTGGCATATTTGCATACCTGCTACTAAAGACCCCAAGATAGAAAAAGAGTTTTACTCTTAAAATCAACCAGGTACACTGCTCAGAAACTTGGAACAACAACTACTATCAAGTGCCATGTATATAAAAATTCTCGCACAATAATTTCAATTTGAGTCCTGAATGCCCACTTTTAGGATTTCCTGAGATTTTCATCCTGAGCTTCCCCTCCTGTGCCTGCCTTTGGTCATTCAGGTAAAAAAAAAAAAAAAAAAAGGTACTTTTAGTCTCACCCTGTTTAATTAGAATGTTAGGTGGATCAGCTAACCTTGAGAGACAGTTGGAATTCCAGACATTAGGAACTGTTCTGGTTATTGTGACCTCCGGGGTTCTAGGTACTGTTTGCTCCCTCAGAGCAGTAATATCACTGCTTCAACCACAGGTGAAACGGGATATTTTGTTAGAAGGGCTCTGCTTTTGCCTATCTGATGTAAACTGGTCCACTTCTCACTTCTTTGTCTTCTCTTCCCAGGGAGGGTTAGCCACGGGGCGGACCTGGGATTTGGTGCACTGGGGCCTGGAACGAGGGCAGTGACAGCTCTTTTGGGCCTTCTCTTGGCCCCGGGTGTGCTGGGAGCAGAGAGCAGCTTCCCAGCTTCATGTGTGGCTCCTGTCAGCTGTGCTGTGGGTGTGACCTGTTCTCCAGCCCACAGCTGTGGCAGTTGTGGCACAGCCACATCTGCTGCCTAACTCCTTTCCCATGGGGGTGGTAAAAAGGAAAAGCCAGGAGGTCAGAAGACCACACACTAGCAACATGCTGGGTAGAAATTCTAACAGTACTGTGGGAGCGGAACACCTAGAAACAGAACTGATCCTTTACATCCTGATTCCACAGGCTTCTGCCAACTCTTTGGGCTGCTGCTCTAAAAACAGGGCTATTAAGGTCTTTGAATTAAAAGAATGTCAGTAACTAGCATTTGCCGAAAGCATGTTATGTGCCAGATTCACTGAGTGCTTTACATTTATTATTTAAATCCATATTATTCTCATTGCATAGATGAGGAAACAGGAACAGAGGTCGAGTGACTTGTTAAAGGTCACATAGGTTGTGAGTGGCAGAGCTAGAGCCTCAATTCAGATCTGCCTGAAGCCAAAGTCCATGCTCTTCACCCTTGAACTATGCCTTCCAGGCTTTTCAGTATCAATATTGCTCTACAATTCGGTCTGTATTGTGCCATTTCTTTCCTTTGATTTCTGTCCCTTTCTCCTTTGCTTTGTTTACTGAGGGGATCTTCAGCAGCCCTTCTTTATCTAGTGACTTCATCGCAGCTTATAAGTAGTTTAAATGGTCAGAGACCACTAACCCTTAAGGCTGGCCCGCTGTCTCAACTCTGCTCACTGCCACGAGCCACGAACAGAACTTTTCCACATGTGAAAATACATTAGTATAATGTAAAGACTAGAAGCAGACTCCTAATCACAGTTTTACATTTTTGTTCTATAAAATTGCTTACTCTAGTAACAGTTTAAAACTTTTGCCAAAGAGAAATACCTCGAAATCAATAGGATCCCAGTACTGGCATGTGTTTAAGAAGCACAGTTAATTCTGTCTCCATAATGCAGCCCAGCCTTTCTAGGGGAAAGAGGAATAAAGAACCCAACATGAAGAAAAATTTTGGATTTTGATGAGTTGGCCACTGTTTGTTTTTTTGTAGGCAAAAAACTGAAAATTGCAATTTGCTAACAGTCAAGGAAACAAAGAAAATAGTAAGAAAAAACAGCTCCCTTAAATACATTTTAATGCTTATTTGGGTTCTTGTTTGGTATAACTTTTTAGTAAAGGCAGTGATTTTGACTGTTCTTCAAGGTGATGATAATGTATTCACTGATTGAAAAATCAGAACCTCAGGAAGGTCCATTATTAACATGGAAACTGTTTGCCAACAGTGGAGTTTTCTGTGCTCTATCACGACCTGATTTGTGGATAATTTCAGTTTCATCCTAATCTTTATATTATTGCAGAAATATATCTATACAACAATGTACTATTACGATAGGATGAACACTGTACAAACTTTCAAAAGTTTGTAAGCTTTGCAAAAATTATTTGTATAATTTTCTAACACTTAATATTTCCTTCAAAAGAAACAATGAAAAATGTAATGCTATAAATAGATCAGAGATTTTAAAAAGATGACTTCAGGACAATCTTCATTAGTTATATAATAAAATTATTAACTTTAGCTTTTTTAAAAAAACAAACAAACATGTTATTTACAAAACTTTTGCAGATTTTGTGAAATTCTCTTGTCACACAGTAATCTTAAGGCACAAAACCACTTCTCATTGTGCCCCCTATACCCAGCATAGTGTCTAAAATATAAAAGATACTAAATGAAAAATAATTTGCAGTCTTGAAATAGGAACATGATACTAGGCAGCTGCCTATTAAATTCTAAGTATTCAATTGATTTTTTTTTTTGACCCTAAATATAAGGAGAAAAACAACAGAAAACATTTGGATGGAAACAAACAGACAAAAATCCTGAATGCTACACAGTAGTCCCCCGCCCCTTATCTGAAGGGGATATGTTCCAAGAACCCAGTGGATGCCTGAAACCTCGGATAATACCAAATACTACATAGAGGATGTTTTTTTCTATACATACACACCTATGATAAAGTTTAATTAAAAATTAGGCACAGTAAGAGATAAGCAACAATAATAGAATAATTACAACAATACACTGTAATAATATTTATGTGAATGTTTTCTCTCTCTTTCAAAGTATCTTATTGTATGGTACATACAGCCTGGACAAAGGGATGATTCACATCCTGGGCAGGAGGGCCCAAGATTTCATCATGCTACTCAGAATGTCACACGATTTAAAAGCTATGAATTGTTAATTTCTAGAATTTTCCATTTAATACTTCTGGCCCGTGGCTGACCACTTGTAACTGATACCATGGAAAGCAAAACTGTACACAACAGGGGATTGCAATATATGGGCACTATCAAAATTATAATTTGTCGACATTATTTCAATTCCACTGAATTAAGTATATATATATTTCTTTTAAATATTTTACTTTTTTTTCCTACTATAGCATATATACACAACTTATTATCCTTTTCTCCTTCAGACTTCTCTCAATGATATTAATTTATTTTTATTTTGTTTTTATTTTTATTTTTGGCTTATTTTAATGTCTCAAGACTTTGTCCTTTCCACCACTGCAACCTCGTTACCTACATAATAGGTGTACATATTAAGCCCTCAACATTTGTGGGGAAAATGCACATCCGCACCTGAATTATTTATGCAAAAAACACCTGGTGGAATAAATACTCCTGAAATAAAGAAGTTTTCTACCCTCTAAACCCCAGGAAAATAGTTTCAAGTCAAAGAAGTATGATTCTACCTTTTAAAAAATTACTCTGTCCAAAGAAATGCCTGTAAATACTATACAGCTGACCCTTGAATGTGGGGGTTAGGGGTGCTGACTCGCCCCACATACAGTAGAAAATCTTCATATAACAAACACTTAACATATTTTATGTATTATATACTATGTTCTTTCAATAAAGTAAGCTAGAGAAAAAAACATTAAGAAAATTGTAAGGATGAGAAAATACATTTACAGTATTTATTGGAAAAAAACCCACATATAAGTGGACCCATGCAGTACACAAAGGTCAACTGTACACAGAGCTGAAGCAAAACTTATACCCTTCTTTACCTGAGGGTTTGCAGCCATAATCGTGTAATTCCCATCATCGTCTAGGGTGGAGGCCGTGGTATGGAGAGAGCAGGTCCCATTAAGATCTCTTTGAATGGTGTAGTGATCATTCTTCGGAGAGATCTGCTTTCCATCTTTAAACCAGTAGATCTGTGAAAGGAAACAAAGATTAAAAATTAAGGATATGTATATAGTACTACTCTATTTGAGGGATTAATAAATAATAATTGTGTGGTCTGCAGAGCTGAATTTTCATGTTAAATGTTAAACGGAACAACTGAATAGGAAATTGATTTTTGAGTAAAAAAAAGTAAGTAACAAACAAGTTTAGTATATCTTTTAAAAACATATATTATTTAAATTCATGTTATTTACATGGAGGGATCTATATCGAATGCTGACAGTAATTATTTCCAAGGTGTCATTATAGGTATTTTTCTTTTTGCTTCTATTTTCAAATGAACGGAATTAAAATGTATTACTTGTAAAGTGAAGGTTAAAAGGTTATTTTAGAAAACAAAAACAGACCCCAAACTCTAATCATTCTGCTGAATTGTGTAGGCAAATAAAACAGAGTGGTCAGGAAGGAAGCAAGAGCTAGGGGTTGGTGGCAGGTAGAACGCTACTGCTTTAATTCTGGATCAAGGAACATATGATCAAAGGTTGAAAGTTTGTCAGCTCTTCCCACTATGTTAAAGAAAACACAATAGTATTTAAATATATAATAATTTTCAAATAATATTTTAACTTGAATAGAAAATTAAATGTGAAAAATAAAGAATCTTGATTAAATAAAAAAAAATTTTAATGGTTAAACTACCTCTTCTATAGGTCCTCCTTCTTTCCCTCACCTTTATACAAATCACTTTCATGATTTAGTATTATTTTTGATTTAGTTTGTGAACTGCACAGTTGAAAGATAGGGCCACATGATGAAGTGCAGTGCCCGCAGCCCTAATATGTTTCAGATGCTGAATTAAGGCCTGCGTCAACCCACCTCCAGACTTACCATTAGTGAAGAAAATAAATCACCCAGTTTTTAAGCCTCAACAACTTCTTTGTTGTCAGTTTTCTTCCTTGCAACCAAAAGCATTCCTAACTGATCTCTAACAGAAGAAACCTACTTTGGAGCCTTCAGTTTTTAAAATGAACTTTTTTCCTTGATATAAAGCAATATGCAAATTGAGACTACAACTGGCATTCAAATTAAACTCTGTCAAAGCCTTTGAATCTGAAAAACACCCATTTCTAAGGTAGGAAAAGGCCTGAAACATACAGCACCAAATAAGCACATGAATAATCAGGGTCTGACTGCTGTAACTATTTTCACCCCTATTTTTCAATGAGCTTCAAATTTACAGAAACTATATTAATCTCCAGAACCTAAAAATTAATCAACTAGATTAATAACTTTTAATTCTAAAAAATTAAATTATGTAAAGCATGTTACTTGATAATTATCATACTCTTCTTAGTGGTTTAATGATTTCTGATGGAAAACAGCAGCTGTGGTTAGTATACGATTTTTTCCTTTTGCATCCTGCTACTATGCTAGTTCTTCAGAATTCTTTCTTTCCTTTATCATATATATATTTTTTGCCTCCATTATACTTGAAAACACTTTCAAATGAGAATTGAGAGATAGTTCTAAATTTTACAAGACTGCTACTGGAGGAGGAAGGGGAGTGTACAAGAAACAAAAACAGTGAATTAGAAATTCTTTTCAGTTTTCTCAGAACAAGCATGTCAAGGGCAGAATAAATTTTTTTAAAAAACAATCTAAAAAAGGGATATATTTTTTTAAAAAATGGATATTCCATACTTGAATAATCTCAATATAACTTATATAACACGTGCAGAAGAAAAAATTCTTCAGTAAACCCAAGAGGGAAGAAAAAGAATGGCAATGAGCAAAGGAGGGAATGGAAGAGCAAAGGAAGGAAGAAGAAGAAAATCTAATGAAAAGTTCTAAAAAAATTAAGCCTCTTAAAGCTATAAAACATTTATATTTGTAGTGGAAAAAAATAGTTATATTAAGAACAACAGCCCATCTTCAAGTGAGCATAATATGCTTTAAGGACAGGAATCAATAATATTAGGATTTCATCAATGACTTTTTAAGTCTTGAGTAAGATTTAAAAATAATGTGGGATCTTTTTGTGACTATTTTGGAAGTTCAAGATATAATTTGTTGAGTTTCATTCATAAGCTGCAAATTTATTTTTAATAACATGCATTTTTGGTGCCATGTTTGTGAATACACAGCAATTATCCAAATTATGCCAAGAATGTAATAAAGAGGTTTTCTCTAACAACTTTATTTAAAAGTCTCATTTTATTAGGAGGTGGATATGGGTTTGAAAATTTAAGTCTGTTCTCTTTGCCCTATGTTTCCCTGACCATGGGACTGGAGTTCAGTTTTA